AGAGAGCGGGAGGGAGAGGGAGAGGGAGAGGGCGGGGGCGCTCGTCCTGCGTGTGAGATCCGCCGCCGCTGGCGTGCTGCCCCACCCAGGACCACGCCGGCGTGCGTCGCGAGCTGATGTCTGGACCCCATCTCTCCCCCTCAACGAGAGGGGAGAGAGAGAGAGAGAGAGAAAAAAAAAAATTATCCCGGCAAAGCAACCTAACAGCGATGTGTAGGAGCATATCTGGAAGCATTCCCCTTAAGATTCAGATGAGAATCCAGTTGTAGAATTCTGCTGTTCTCGCAGTCGTAGTCGCATTCGCGATGACAGTCGCAGTGGCAACGGCAGTCACAGTCACAGCCTCAGCCTCAGCCTGCCTCAGCCTCAGCCTCAGCCTGCCTCAGCCTCAGCCTGCCTCAGCCTCAGCCTCAGCCTGCTTCAGCCTCAGCCTCAGTCTGCCTTCAGCCTCGGCGTCAGCCTCAGCCTGCCTCAGCCTCAGCCTGCATCAGCCTCAGCCTCAGCCTCAGCCTGCCTCAGCATCAGCCTGCAAGCCTGCTCAGCATGTGGCCCGGGAATGGAGTTCTGGGAACTCGAAGAACACGAAGTGGCCTACAGTTGGCTCAGGGCATTCAAAATCATGCCCAGGAATGGAGTTCTGGGAACTCGAAGACCACGAAGTGGCCTACAGTTGGCTCCGGGCATTCAAAATGTGGCCCGGGAATGGAGTTCTGGGAACTCGAAGACCACGAAGTGGCCTACAGTTGGCTCCGGGCATTCAAAATCTGGCCCGGGAATGGAGTTCTGGGAACTCGAAGAGCACGAAGTGGCCTACAGTTGGCTCCGGGCATTCAAAATGTGGCCCGGGAATGGAGTTCTGGGACTCGAAGACCACGAAGTGGCCTACAGTTGGCTCCGGGCATTCAAAATGTGGCCCGGGAATGGAGTTCTGGGAAGTCGAAGAGCACGAAGTGGCCTACAGTTGGCTCCGGGCATTCAGAATGTGGCCCGGGAATGGAGTTCTGGGAGGTCGAAGAGCACGAAGTGTGTGACTGTTGGCTTAAAACGACTTCTGCGGCACCCTGTCCGGCACCCGCCCAGACCCCCCTGTGGAGTCATCTGCTGCTCTCTTTTGAGACCACTAGAAACCTATCAGAACAAGCTGTTAGGTAATAAAAAAAAGGATTCCCAGAAGTCCCGACCCCTTCCCCAGGGCGGGCTTTCCGTCCTGAGCCGTGTCTTGACGGGCCCAACGCGGGGCGAGAGCCTCCGTAGGCCGAAAAGGTGAACGTTGGATGTCTGGGGAACAAAATGAAACTGGCGACCCAAAGTGCGAGTCGTCCTTCTTCCAGAACATTTGAAAGTACTTCTGGCCGATGGAGAGCAAGGCAATGCAAAGCATTGCTTGGCAGTGCTTGGCAGTGCTTGGCATTGCTCGGCGTTGCTTGGCATTGCTTGGCATTGTTGCTTGGCATAGCTTGGCAGTGGATAGCCTTGCTTTGCATTGCTTGGCGCTGCTTGGCATTGGTTGGAACCGTTGCGTGGCATTGCTTGCCATTGCTTGGTGTTGCTTTTCATTGATTGGCATTGCTTGCCACTGGCTGGCATTGGTCGGCATTGCTTGGCGTCGCTTGGCATTGCGTAGCATTGCGTAGGACTGCTTGGCGCTCGGCATGGCGTTGATGTTGCTTGGCATGCCATTGATGTTGCTTGACCGAGCTCGGAATACTGCTTGGCATTGCTTGGTATTGCTTGGCGCTGCTTAACGTTGCTTGACGTTGCTTGGCACTGCTTGGCATTGGCTTGCATTGCTTCGCAGCGCACGGGGCCACCCTGGGCAACAGCAGGCAACCGGGGGCAACCCCCCTGGAACCCCTGGGCAACCCCGAGGGATCCTCCGATATGATTTTGAAAGACCGCGGACCCGACCCCTTCCCCAGGGCCGGTTTTCCTAGACGAGCGCGTTCCACTACTCGCAAAGTAACTGCTCGCAAATGGCCTGGATAGGCCGCGGGGGATCTACGATCAATTACATCAAAGCCGGCATGTGTCTTTTCGGAAGTTTGCGAGTCGAGTAGGCACTCTGCGAGTAGCGGACCGTGCTCGGTGATGTTCGTCCGGATCCGTCTCTGATGGCCCCCGGACCCGGAAACGGCCCCGAGGGCCGGAACCGCTAAAAAGACGCCAGTGGGAACGAGCGCACGATCCGAGATCTGAGAACACCCTCGAGCACGAAGCCATACGCCGTCCGGCGAGCGGGCAGGAGAAGTCTGGACTCGAGCTGTCACAGCCATTGCGCCTGCCCAACAGGGCGGTAGGAGGAGGAGGAGGAGGAGGAGGAGGAGGAGGAGGACGTGGAGGAGGAGGAGGAGGAGGAGGAGGAGGAGGAGGAGGAGGAGGAGGAGGAGGAGGAGGAGGAGGAGAGAGGAGGAGGAGGAGGAGGGAGAGAGAGGAGGAGGAGGAGGAGGAGGAGGACGAGGAGAGGAGGAGGAGAAGGAGGAGGACGAGGACGAGGACGAGGAGAGAGGAGGAGGAGGAGGAGGAGGAGGTGGACAAGGAGGAGAGGAGGAGGAGGAGGAGGAGGAGGAGGAGGAGGAGGAGGAGGAGGAGGAGGAGGAGGAGGAAGGGCGGGACGGCAAGAAGAGCAACTAAGCATGTGCACTGGAAATAAACCAGGGCATTTGCACTCGAGACCCGGGCCTCCTCAAGGGGGAAAACGCTACGCCCTGGCCGTGCTGCCCCCGGCGGCGCCTGGCGCCAAGGGCACGAGCGGGCGAGCTCGGCGCGGCGCGGCCGCGGCGAGAGGGGGCGGCGGCTCCTCGACCCCGAGATGACCCAGAGGATGACGACCAGGCGCTGCCGGTTCACCGTCTGCAGGCCTGCGGGGAGGGGACGGCGCCTCGCCCTACAGTCTCGCCGGTTCCAGGGCGGGGTCCTGAGCTCAGCTGCCCCGATGCGCAACACGCTAAAGGTGGCGTGTTGACGCGGAGCTCAGCACGCAGACTGAGCACGTGCGTTTCGAACGCGGACGTTTTGAACACGGCACGTGTTCCGTTTGAAAACGTGCGTGTCAGAGCAGCGAAGGTCCTGAGGGATGGGGTCCTAAGGATAGGAAGGGGTCCAAGGGTCAAATTTGCGTGGCTTTGGGCACCTCGTCCTCAGGAGCCCTGGAGCACCCCAAGAAAGCCCCAAGACGGCCCAGCCTCCCCCACCGTGTTCCCCGAGCGCTTTCCAAACCGATTCGGGGAACACATGGTCCGATAGCTTGGCAGGCCTCTGACCACAACGTTTGGCCACATAGGCGTTTCCAAAGAGGCAGGGGGTGGCGGTGATTCGCCGTCGGCGTCTTCGATCCGCCGACCCCTGTCGACTCATCGCAGGGGTGCCTGGCGTGCGACCCTTTCGGTCTTGGTGTTGGTTCTTGTTCCGAAAGTAAGAACTCCCCCTGGGGCTTCGGCGCGTTCCGCCGGCCACCTGAAAGGATCTCAATCCCAAATGTTTCCTCCAAGACGGCTCAAGATGGCCTCCAAGATGGCCACGTTGGCCCAAGATGGCCTCCAAGATAGTCCAAGATGGCCTTCAAGTCCGCCCAAGAGAGGAGGAGATGCATCCAAGTCCGCCCGAGAAACCCCCCAGACGGCCCAAGACGGCCCAAGAGGTGCCCAAGAGGCCTCCACGACGGCCCAAGAGGCCTCCGAGAGGTTCTGCAGGAGGGCCCAAAGAGGCTAAAAACACTGTTTTTCCTTAAAAGGTTTTCGTATGTGTTCCTTTTCGGCTTTCCGACGACCCAAGACGGCCCCAGAGGCCCCCAAGATCGCCCCCAGAGCGCCCAAGAGGCCTCCAAGTTGGCCTCAGGACTGCCTAAGAGGCCCCCAAGACAGCCCCGAAAGGGCACAAAGACAACCCAAGAGGCTTCCAAGACTCCCAAGATGGCCTCTAAGACAGCCCTGGAGCACCCCAAGAGGGCCCCAAGTCGGCCCAAAGCTGCCCCCAAACGGCTTCCGACGGCGTCAGACTGGTCAGGAGCCCACCAAGATGGCCGAAGTTGGCTCGAAGCTGGCCCAAGACGGCCCAAGAGGCCTGGCATCCAGGAAGGCCCGAAAAGACCAAAAACACTGATTTTCCTTATGTGTTTGAAGGATTTGGGGATGTGCTTCTTTTCGGCCTTCCGACGGCCCGAGACGGCCCAAGAGCCCCCTAAGGATCGCCCAAAGATCGCCCAAGCCCAAGAGGGCCCAGGAGGCCTTTCACGACGCCCAAGATGGCCTCCAAGACGGCCCTGGAGCATTCCAAGAGGGCCCCAAGTCGGCCCAGAGAGACCCCCAAAATGGCTTCCGATGGCGTTAGACGGGCCAGGAGCCCGCCAAGACGGCCGAAGATGGCCCTAAGATGGCCCAAGACGGCCCAAAAGACCTCCAAGAGGGTCTCCAGGAAGGCCCGAAAAGACCAAAACCATTGATTCCCCATGAGTTGTTGAAGCATTGTGGCATTTGTTATTTTCTGCCTTCCGACGGCCCGAGGCGGCCCAAGTGCCCCCAAAGATCGCCCAAGAGGCCCAAAACGGCCCCAAGAGGCCCCCAAGACGGCCCAAGAGGCCCCCAAGACGCCCAAGACTCATCCTCCTCATTTCCTCCTCCTTATGTTCCTTCTCCTTCTCATCCTTCTTCTTCTTCCTTCTCCTCCTCTTCCTCCTGATCTTCCCCGTCTTCTTCCCAGAAGTGTTCCCTGAAGGGTTTCCACAACGGTTGGGGGAACACCTGGTCCGACTTCTTTGTAGAGCTCTTGCCACAACGCTCGGACACATGAGCGCTTTCATACCTCTTGCTCCCCCACGCGTTCCCCGAAGGCTCTCCAAACCGACTCTGGAAACAACTGGCCGCTAGCTGGGCCAGGCTCTAGCCCAGCTGTCAGCCACATAGGCGCTTCCACAAGGGCAGGGGGCGGTGGTGACTCGCCGTACGCGTCTTCGATATCCGCCGCCCCTTGTTGGCTTGCCACAAGGGTGCTCGGCATGCTAAACCACAGACGGTTTGGTTTTGCTTGTTTGCCCAAGAGAGCTCTCCCTGCGGCTTCGGCCCGTCCCGCCGGCCACCCGAAAGGCGTCCAATTCCCGGCAAAAAATCCCCAAAGACGGCTCAAGATGCCCAAGAAGACCGCCAAGACGGTCCAAGATGGCCTCCAAGATGCCTCCAAGATGGCCAAGATGGCCTCCAAGAGGGCTAAAATGGCCCAAAGATGCCACCATGACGGCCCAATATGCACCCAAGACGGCACAAGATGGCCTCAAGATGACGGCAGACGGCCCAAGAGGCCCCAAAGAGGCTTCCATGACGGCCCAAGAGGCTCCCAAGAGGGCCTCCAGGAAGGCCCGAAGAAGCCAAAATCAGTGATGTTCCTAAGGTTTTCGAAGGATTGTTGGAGTTACTCCTTTTCGGCCTTCCGACGGCCCGAGACGGCACAAGAGCCCCCCAAGATCGCCCCAAGATCGCCCAAGAGGCCTCCAAGATGGCCCCAGAACAGCCCAGGAGGCCCCCAAGACGGCCCCAAGGGGGCCCCAAGAGGCATCCAAGACGCCCAAGATGGCCTCCAAGACGGCCCTGGAGCACCCCATGAGGGCCCCAAGTCGACCGAAAGAGGCCCCCAAAACGGCTTCCGACGGCGTCAGACGGGCCAGGAGACCATCAAGACGGCGAAAGATGGCTCTAAGGAGGCCAAAGACGGCCCAAGAGGCCCCCAAGAGGTCTCCAAGCCGGCCCAAGAGGCATCCAAGAGGGCCTCCAGGATGGCCCACATATACCAAAATCCGTGATGTTCCCAAGGTTTTTGAAGGATTGTGGCATCTACTTCTTGTCGGCCTTCCGACGGTCCGAGACGGTCCAAGAGCCCCCAAAGATCGCCCCAAGATCGCCCACGAGGCCTCCAAAATGGCCCCAGAACGGCCCAAGATGCCCCTAAGACGGCCCCAAGAGGGCCCTAAGACGGCCCAAGAGGCCTCCAAGACACCCAAGATGGCCTCCAAGACGGCCCTCGAGCACCCCAGGGAAGCCCCAAGTCAGCCGAGAGAGGCGCCCAAGACAGCTGCCGACGGCGTCAGTCACACGGGCCACGAATGCCCTGAGACAGCCAAACAGGCCTTCGAGAAGCCCCCAAAGGCCCCCGAAGGCCGCCAAGAGGCCCAAGGAGGCCCCCAAGATGCCTCCAGGAGGCCCCCAGGAAGCTCACAGGAGGCCTCAAGAGTGCCCCAGAGGCTCCCAAGATACCTCCTCCTCCTCCTCCTCCTCCTCCTCCTCCTCCTCCTCCTCCTCCTCCTCCTCCTCCTCCTCCTGATCTTCCCCGCCATCCTCCCAAGTGTTCCCCGAAGGGTTTCCACAACAGCTGGGAGACACATGGTCCGATAGTTTGGCAGAGCTCTTCCAGAACGCTCGGCCACATGGGCGATTCCAAAAGGCAGCGGGCGGCGGTGATTCGCCGCAGGCGTCTTCGATACATGTGGTTGCCTCACGAATCGCCTCGGATCGTGGCACCAAGCCGCGCAAGATGGCGTTGTGTGGGCAGGTGTGACAGAAGACTCCTTGGAGCTACACACGGGGCGCGTTCGGCGCACGAGACCCTTCTTTCCCCTCGCCTCGCGTGGCTTCGCCAGTCCGCCGCCCTGCTCCCTCCCTCGTCTCCATCCGCTCCTGCTCCTCTTCCCTCGCCTCCCCTCTGCTCCTCCCTCTGTCGGGCTCGCAGGTGGCTGCCTTGCCCCACCTCGGGGCGGACGATGGCACAGAGTCTCCAGCCTCATCCTATCCGCAGCGCGCTGGCACATGATTTGGCGGCGCGCACAAGGGGCTGGAGGGAGGGGGGAGGGCGTCTTAGAAGGAGGCTGCTTCTTAGAAGGCGCCCGCCTTACATCTATGGATAAGGCCCGCGCCTTCTAAGAAGCAGGGGTGCTTCTAAGAAGCCCTCCCCCCTCCGCCCCACCCGCCTCTGCGCGTGGCTGAATGATGTTCCCCGCGCGCCCTCCATGGGGCCGCCCTCGTGCGAGCGGGGTGGCCTGACTTGCCTCGACTCCGCGGCCCCTGGAGCTTCCGACCCCTGCCCCAGAGCCCGTGCTCCGACCCGGATCCACTTCTGGTCGCCCTGAGGTGCTCGACAACGGCCTCCCTGGAGGCCGAGATCGAGGAGAACCGCCCCGATTGAAGACGAAGCGTCGTCGGAGATCTGGGACTGCGGCAAAGATCGGTGGTGCAAAGATGGGGTCCTGAGGGATGGGGTCCTCAGGATAGGAAGGGATCCAAGGGTAGATTTGCTTCGCTTGAGGCTCCTCGTTCTTGGGGCCCCCATCCCTCAGGACCTCATCTCTGAGCCACCGAAAAAAGGAGTCCGCCTCGCGGCTGCTCCTGCAGGCAGGCCTGGGGGGGGAGGGGCGGAGGGGGGGGGCCCAGGGCCTGCCAGGGCCGAGAAGAGGAAGGCGAGCACCACGTTGGTCTCCTTCATGAACTGCAGGAACGCCACGCTGGGAGGCGGCGGGCGGCGCCGAGGGGGATGGTGGGTTTGTTTTCCACCGCCACCACCACAAGTAGGACGGGGAGGGGATCCTCCTCCTCCTCCTCCTCCTCCTCCTCCTCCTCCTCTTCTTCCTCATCCTCATCCTCCACCTGCTCGTTGACGGCCCCGCCCTCCAAACCCCACCCCAGGTAATAACGCCATAAATTGCGCAGGCGATGTCTGGACACGGGCCATCTCCTAACATTCCTATGAATTCTCGGACGGCGCAGGCGCGAAGCGTGACGTCACTGCCCCCTCTCCCCCCGGCAACGCCCATTAGAACCCGTTTCACTCCCTGCCATCGTGTGGTGTTGGGCCCCTGTTTTTGAAGAAACAGCGCCCCGCGTCGCCGCACCTCCCACCCGCTGCCCCTCCATCCTCCCTTCCATGCTTAAGCATTACCACATCCACCAGCATCAGGAACAGTTCGGCACACCCCTCGCAACCGAAGGCCTCTTTTTGGGGGCTCGCATGGGGCCAGCGCGCCGATTCCGGCACCCCCCTTACACGCTTCGTGGCCCAATTGCGAGCTCCACCGAAGGCCCCTGTGGGAGGGGTCGCACTGCCGCACCACTTTCGGCACACCCCTCACACACTTCGTAGTCCCATGATATAAACATATATAAACCTCCACCGAAGGCCCCAGTGAGAGATTTCGCATGGCGCCACCGCACCGATTTGGGCACCCTCCTCACACGTTTCGTGGCCCCGTAGGGACCTACACAGGAGGCCCCAATGAGAGGGTTCACATGTCGCCACCGCGCCCATGTCGGCACGCCCGTCACACGCTTCGTGGCCCCATAGGGAGCTCCACGCAAGGCCCCAGTGGGAGGGCTCATATGGCGCCACCGCACCCATGTCGGCACACCTTGTGGGGCCAGTGGCAGCGCTCGCATGGCGCCACCGCACTGGTTCCGGCACACCCCTCACACGCTTCGTGTCCCCACATAGAGCTCCACAGGAGGCCCCAATGGGAGGGTTCGTATGGCGCCACCGCATCAACTTCGGCACACCCCTCACACGCTTCATAGCTCTATGGGGAGGTTCACCAAAGGCCCCAATGAGAGGGTTCGTATGGCGCCACCGCACCCATGTCTGCACATCCTGTGGGGCCGGTGGCAGCGCTCGCATGGCGCCACCGCACCGATTCCGGCACACCCCTCACACGCTTCGTGTCCCCCCATAGAGCTCCACAGGAGGCTCCAGTGGGAAGGGTTCGCATGGCGCCACTTCATCCATGTCGGCACACCCCTCACATGCTTCGTGGCTTCATGGGGAACTCCACCGAAGGCCCCAGGGGGAGGGTTCATATGGCGCCACCGCACCCATGTCGGCACTCCTTGTGGGGCCAGTGGCAGCGCTCGCATGGCGCCACCGCACCGATTCCGGCACACCCCTCACACGCTTCGTGTCCTCACATAGAGTTCCACAGGAGGCCCCAGTGCGAGGGTTCGTATGGCGCCACCGCACCCATGTCGGCACACCCTGTGGGGCCGGTGGCAGGTGTCGCATGGCGCCACCGCCACCCTTTCTGCACACCCCTCACTCGCTTCGTGGCCCCATTGGGAGCTCCACCGAAGATGATACGGACAACTGCGTCATTCACAACTGCATTTGGTTGAGCCATTCGCAATTTCATGTTTTGCGATAGCGGCCATTACCGGCCCCAGCCCTGCCGCCTTCCCTCCCTGGTAGCGTCACGATTCGTGCCGTCGCCGTCTGGGAATGCCTGCTAAAAAAAAGCAAGTGAAGCTCGAATGACAGGTCCGCCACCGTGCTTCTGGGCACGGAGTGGGAGTGTCCTCAGGTCCCTTGCCTAATCTCTTAAGCCTCACTCTTCAATCCCGACAAATTCTTACGGGGCCTAAACCCCAAATTACCAAATCTCCCAGGGTTTGCCAAGGTTTGTCTGGGGCTTCCCGCACTTCCCCGCGTGAGTTGTTCGGGCCCAAGAAAGGCCCCAAGACGGGCCAAGAGAGCCCCAACACACCCCCAAGATGGTCCTACAAGACGCCGAAAGTTCGCTCCAAGACGCCCAAGATGGCCCCAAGAAGGTCCAAGAGGCCTCACAGACGCCCCAAGAGGCGCCCAAGAGTTGTCCGAAGAAGGCCCCAAAAAGGCCAAAGTCCGTGTTTCCCCATTGGTTTTTGAAGGTTTCTGGTCTTCTCGACATTTCAGCTGCCCGACGCTCCAAGACGGCCAGGAGGCGCCCGAGATCGTCCCAAGACTGCAACAGAGTCCCCCATGAGGGCCCAAGACGGCACAAGAGGACCCCAAGACGGCCCAAGAGACGCTCAAGACGGCCCAATGACTGTTCCAAGAGGGGTCCGAGATGGGGAACCCGAGCGGACATGTCGAGCCCACGGCCCCGAGAGCCCCCCAGGAGGCTCCAGGAGGCCCCCAAGAGGCCCCCAAGAAGCCCCCAAGAGGCCCAAGGTGGCCCCCAAGAGGCCCCCTAAGAGGCCCATGGCTCCAACAGGCCCCAACACTGCCCCCAAGTGGCCCATGCGAGCGATGCGAAGAAATCCCCAGAAGCATCCCTGAGAACTCTGACTCACAAGCCACGCACGGCAGCGGGATGGGCCAAAGGCCATTAGGAACCGACTGGGGGTTGCGATGGCAGAGCGTCCGCCATGCTTTGGACACGCAAAAAACGTGCGATGGATAGCTACGGATAGCTAAGCGCTGCGTAAGGGGGCTGCTGGGAATAAAATACGGTTTTGTTATATCCTCTCGCTTCCCTCCTCTGCCTCCTCCTCTTCTCCCTCCACTGCCTCCCGTCGTCCACGTCCTCCCCATTGCATTGCAAGGTGCTTCACCAAAGGACGAGTGATCGAAGGAAGGAACGGAAAGGAGGAAGGGGGCAAGGCAGGCGGGGGCAGGCCGAAACGACCTGTTTGATTACACTTCTGGTATCGACTCGTGTTCTCGGAAGGGTCTGGGCGTTCCTGGGCCGGAAGGGGGGGGGAGAGTGGCCTCGTCGTCGTCCTGCCCTCTCTCTTCGTCGTAACCCCGAAAGGCCTTTAGAACCTAATAATTTTCTCGGCTACCCTATTGACGGACCGGGGCCCCACCAATAATGGAAAACCATCATTCTCCGCGGCACCCTCCGCACAACAACGACGACGCCCAGGCCGAGCAGGAAGAGGAGGAGGAGGAGGAGGAGAAGCAGGAGGGGCGGAGTTTACTCCCCGCCGAGAGAAGCAGCGGGGGGCCCAAAACTAAAGACCTCCTCAGGTTACTTCTCTTGTCGGCCCATTCCTTCTCACAGCTCTGCAAACTGCTTCAACCCATAACGACGTGAGCACCACAATGGGGGCGTGCGAGATGGCAAAAGCCCATGAGATACACGTGGTCCACTTCCAACTCAACCTTGCCAACAGTGCACGGCGTCCTCTTCTCTGAGTGGTCCGACTACGATCGAGAATCTCAGGCTGGGCGTCTTTAACAGTCCACGAGAATGGAAACACACGCGGCTGGAATCTCATGCGAAACACGCGGAGGACCAGTCCGTTGCTGGATACGCATGCGGATGGCTGGCTGCCTTAGCCTTAAGTCGGGCGTGTCCCACTACAGGGGAATTTTCCACGAAAAATAATTCTCCCGGCGAAGGGCCCAACCATGTGCAGCTGTGTGCAACGCAGGTGTGGGTATCGGCCTCGGTGAACTTCCCTCTGAGACCACGACGCGTGTGACGGGTGTGCCAAAATTGGCACGGGTACGCCATGCGGACGCTGCCACAGGATCCGTCGGTGCAGCCCCATCTGAGGCCACGAAACGCGTGAGGGGTGCGCCGAAATGCAGGGTGGAATCACGTGCGGGCGCTGCCACCAGGGCCTTTGGTGGCCGCGAAACGTGGAAGGGGTGCGCCGAAATGGAGGGGGAACTGCATGCGGAACCTGCCACTGGGGCCCTAAGTGGAACACTCCATGGGGCCACGAAACGTGTGAGGGGTGCGCCGACATGGAGGGGGAGCTGCATGCGGACTTGCCACGGGGGCCTTGGGTGGAGCACCCTATGGGGTAACGAAACGTGTGAGGGGTGCGCCGAAATGGAGGTGGACCTGCATGTGGACCCTGCCACTGGAGCCTACGGCGGAGCACCCTATCGGGCCACGAAACGTGTGAGGGGTGCGCCGAAATGGGGATGGAACTGCATGCTCACCCTGCCACTGGGGCCTTCCGCGGAGCACCCTATGGGGCCACGAAACGTGTGAGAGGTGCGCCGCAATGGAGGTGGAACTGCATGCGGACCTTGCCACTAGGGCCTTCGGCGGAGCACCCTATGGGGCCACGAAACGTGTGAGGGGTGCGCCGAAATGGGGGTGGAACTGCATGCGGGCCCTGCCACTGGGGTCATCGGCGGAACACACCATGGGGCCACGAAACGTGTGAAGGTGCGCCGACATGGGAGTGGAACTGCATGCGGACCCTGCCACTGGGGCCTTCGGCGGAGCACCCTATGGGGCCACGAAACGTGTGAGGGGTGCGCCGAGATGGGGGTGGAACTGCATGCGGACCCTGTCACGAGGGCCTTCGACGGAGCACCCTATGGGGCCACGAAATGTGTGAGGGGTGCGCCGAAATGGGGGTGGAACTGCATGCGGACCCTGCCACTGGGGCCTTCGGCGGAGCACCCTATGGAGCCACGGTACGTGTGAGGGGTGTGCCGAAATGGAAGTGGAACTGCATGCGGGCCCTGCCTCTGGGGCCTTGGGCGGAGCACCCTATAGGGCCACGAAACGTGTCAGGGGTGCGCCGAAATGGGGGTGGAACTGCATGCGGACCCTGCCACTGGGGCCTTCGGCGGAGCACCCTATCGGGCCACGAAACGTGTGAGGGGTGCGCCGAAATGGGGGTGGAACTGCATGCGGACCCTGCCACTGGGGCCTTGGGCGGAGCACCCTATGGGGCCACGAAATGTGGAAGGGGTGCGCCGAAATGGAGGTG